TGCTCCCCTAGCACCGCCCTGAGGGAAAAGAGGAGTGTGTATAGGGGAGGCACAGTGCTCTCTGAGAAAGAGCAGGCCTGGATAGGGTGGCAGAACAGGGGCCTTTAGATAGCGAGAGGTGTGGTCCAAGCACTGAACTATTGGAAGTATCCCCACTCATAAGAGAGACAGTAGAAAAGGACCCAGGAAGTGAGAAAGGGACTAAACCCGTGCCTCTCAATCGTGGCTGAACACTAGAATCACACAAGGATCTTTTCAAATACATTATTACCAGGAGCACCCTCACTCAACCCTGAGATTCTGACTTGACTGGTCAGGGGTAGGGCCCAAGTGTGGTTTTTAAATCTTCCCAGGTGATTCTAATGCACAGGCAGAATGGCAAATCATTTAGCTGTCAGACACGTTTACTCTGCCCTCTGCTGGACGGGCACTGACTTACCACTGAAGATCATTCACTGGGCCCAGGGCTGAGCTGGCAGAGGGGTCTCTGTGAAGGCTGGGAGACCCCTCTGACAGCACCAGTGTGCCAGCAGGGCCCATGTGTGCATGTGATGAGGAGGATGCCTTTTCTAAGTAGTGGACCAGCCTCAACCAGGGCTACTGCAGGGATTCACTCTCAATGCATGCTCCCCTGAGATGCCTGTCAAACCTGTAGATTCTCTGGCCCCACCCCAGAGACCTGCTAAACAGAAATCTATGGGGTGAGGCCTGGAAATCCACGTTTTTTAACACACCCCCAGCGTCCCCTCTCAATGAATCTTGTGCACTTAAGTTTGAGAACTGCTACTGAGAGCTCGTTTCCAGGGAACTTGTTCTTTATACCAGTTAGCTGATAGAAAAGCTTTGCTTTCTTTGCAGCAAAGGCCTGCTCACCTGCTCCTGGCACACTGGAGCAGGAGTTCAGTTCCTCGATGACCAGATCAGCTCGCCAAGGAGGATCTGAGCAGAGCCTGAGAATCCTCTTCAGCAAATTCTTTCTAGTTAGTTTTTTTGTTTTGTTTTCTTTTTTTCCCTTTTAGCAGCTCTGGTAAACATGGCTGGTGAATTGCCCCAAATATTTTTTCTTTTTTTGTATTGTGCCATTCAATCGACAGTTTTGCATAATAAAAGGTTACCATGATGAGTGAACAAGAAATGAATCAAGCTTGATTGTTCAGATGCAGAATTTGCCCCCGAGCACACGATACTTATCTTCCCGCTTGGCCCATTGTCTAATGGTGTAAGTATGGCTCGAAGGTGGATAAAAATAGATATTAATAGGCTTATACACACCTCCCCAGTAGCATCTCTATCAAGGAGGACGATTTTTGGGGTCACAACTGGCATCTCTGAGCCTGATCTTCACGCGGCCTCTGTGTATTCCTCAGACACAGTACTCGGCAGTTTTAACTTCCTCATTCAGTTACTTTATGAGGATGCCATCATTCATATTAATGAAATTACTTTGATTATCTTCCTAGACAGTGTGTCAGTGGGCAGTTAGCAGCCCCATAAAGAGCACCATGCAAATTTTCTGCTGATTCAGACCCAGGGTTTCCCCTTTCTTTTTTCTCTAAGGCCCCCACTGCTCTCCTTTTTTTTTCTGGGGATTCATTTATCTGCTCTGTTGTAGCTCCTTTGGTCACCCCAAGACTGGCTTAGATGGAGACAGTCTCTTCAGGACATCCCTTTCTTTCCATCCCATCAGATGAGCATAGACATCCTTTTTAGTGAATTTTCTTGTTCATTACGTTGGGGGACAGATGGGGAAGCCCAGAAACCCATGGGCAGAAGCTGCGCTGGCTTGACTGGGCTCCGGCTCTTTTCAGACAAATGACTCAAACCAAGCAGTCCTGCCGCAGCCCCATGTGAATTTGGGTTGGTCCTGCCACCAGGTTCAGTGTCTTCCTAGTCCCTGTAGGAACCTGCTTATCGATCTTTGGCCTGGGCACCCTGCCTCTTCCTCCCCAAGGTCTGCTCACTGACAAGGTCAGTCACTGATTTTTCTGGGCAAGACCATCATTTCCCCACCCGGTTACCAAATGCCTTTCCTCTCTCTCTTCAAGCCATTCTGCACCAACTTGGAACCCATCTTATCTGTACCTGTCCCTACTCCACCCCGTTTTTCACCTTTCAGGAAGAAGGAAGGGTTTTCTACAGGCCCCTGGGATAGCTCAAAAATGAAAGTAGGGGTAAGCTTACCCTGCTCCGCCCTAGCCCACTCACACGCATTGACTGACCTACGCCTCCTTGCCTCCAATTTCTGAGAGTGTCTGTACTGAGGAAGCAAGCAGTAACAGTCTTCTATCCTGTCGCCTCACCCATCTGTAGTGTCAAGACAGTTCTGGTTCATGCACCTTCCTCAGGCTGCAATGACAGTGACCACCCTCGGACTGTGCTTTCATGGACATGGGTGCCCACTGATGGAGCTTACCCTGACGGATGCCAGAACATTGGAAGGGACAGAGCAGCCCCCAGTGCCCCTGCCCTGGCACGGACACACATCTGTCAGAGTGCTGGCTTCCTGCTCCCTCAGCACAAGCAGGACTTGGGCTTCCCCAGTCTTGCCCCACCACGGCCATCAAACCAGAGGGCCACAAAGGGGTCCATCTCCCTTCAGCCCACCCATTACAGAGGTTTCCACATAGGTAGCAAAGCTCATTTCTCCTTGGACAAATGCCTCTGTCTTTCTTGGGTTGGCAGCATATGACAACACCAGAAACATACATCATGTTAGTCTCTGTTGCTTTCTTCAGGCAATACTGCAGTATGTAGACTTACTTGTTATTGAAACAGAACTTTAAGAAATGAAGGAAGATGAGTTTCATTTCCCTTTCCGGACGTTCTCTTCATCATTGTCAAGCTCTGCTTCCCTGGCCTGGGGCATCACCTTTATCCTTCCCATAAGAGTCCATAGTTTCCACCTGAGAAGTCCCTGTCTCTCTCCTAACCTGGTTCTCCTGAACTCCCACCAGCCAGGTACCACGTCTGGCTTTACTAAATAACAGCCACTCTTTATTGCAAAGTTACTGTGAATCAGACTTAGTAGTAAGCAGTTCACCCGCCTTTGCTTTTTTTTTTTTTAATTCTCAAGATGGCCCATGAGTCAGATTCTATTATTATCACCATTTTGGAGTAAGGAAACAGGCTTGGTGTTAAGTAGCTTGTCCAAAATTTTACAATAAGTACGTGGTAGAGTGGGACACTTGGGTTTGAAAACTTGAGTGTTTATTAGTGCTCCTCTTGCGGATAGTGTTAGATTTGTTACCTGTTGCTCTGAGTCTAAGAGCGTGACTCAGGCAGTTCCTAATCTGTCCAGAACACAGTCCACAGCCCAGCACTCAAGCTGGGTGAGCCTACACATCACACTTCTTGGCACTAAGAAAAACCATCCCACTTTGTTGACTTGACTTCCCCTGCCACACACACACACAGATGAATGTGAAAGTACGTGAAATCTGTTAGATGATCCATTTGATTACATGGCAAATACTCTGGATACTTACTTGTTTGTTCTACCACAATAGTCCCCTTTGTCATATTTTGCAAGGACTTTTGATTTAATTCCCTAAATCAACACTGAATTTGTTTTCTTATGAACAAGGAAGAGGATGGAGCTTATCAGATTGCACAGGACCGGGGTCAGGTTACCTTGGGGCTCTCCTGGAGGATAGTGATGGGAAGAGGGGTTACCAAGGGGGCTTTGGGGCACTGGTAATGTTGCCTCCTAATCTGGGTGCTGCTGACTTGGGTTTCACTTTATGCAAATCCATCAAGCTGTCCACCTGGGATATGTACTCATTCCTGCCTGGACCACCTCAGTACCCTCCTCTTGGCGGGCTCCCCACCATCCATCACTCCTTAGTGGAGCCTCTCGTGACTCCTCAGTCAAGATGAGGTTTCCCTCCACAGCACTGATCACAAGTGAAATGATTCTGCTGATTTTGTAGGTCCTGGTTTCCTGTGTGGCTCTCTTTAGATTCTAAGTAACTAGGGCTCACTGAGTCTACTCGTGTTGATGTTGTCTCTTGGGCCCAGCACAGTGCCTGGAACAGGTGGCCACCATGAGATAATTTGTAAAGGAATGATCAAGGCAGGAGAGATGGAATAGAAGGGTGGACAGAAGAAAGTGAAAAGAAGAGAGGACAGGAGGAAGCATTGTCTCCAGGATCTGGTATTTTGAGGCATGCACCACAGACATGTCTGTCCATTGATTAATTATATTTGTACAACAATGTGTTTATTGTTTACTGTATTCATGGTGAAAGTTCTAACAGAGTGTGTCCCGTGGGGTGCTGGCATCCCAGTGAATAAAAATATCAGGGAGACGAGGTAAGAATCATAAACCTCACTTCACAGATTAGTCAACTGAGACTCAGAGGGGAAGGGACTTGCCTATGCCAGCCAGAAACTGTAGAACTGGGATCAAAACCCACTTCCAGTCATGGAGGGACCCCTCCCGCCCACCATGCTGCCTCCTGGGGTGTGGTCTGAGCCGCACTTCACAAGTGCTCTGATGCGTCCTTCTATGTCTGAGACCCCATCTCTCCCCAGCCATCACGGGTGGGGATGTATCCAGCCCATCAGTTCCCGGTGATTTCCACATTTTTTTCTTGCTTCTCCTATTTCATCATCCTCGCCTGCAACACAGGGGAGCCAGGGCTCTCAGGGTTCTGGAGTCGGGAAACGTCTGCTTTACCTGCCTCATCTCTTTCTCCACGACCCATTAAGCTGGGATGGTGCGGAGACCTTCCCTGGGTCTCACCACGCCCAGGGGTGAATGGGGTCTGCCATTTTATTTGTGGAGAGAAGATGCTCTTTCTGCACAGAGCCCACGTGATGTGATTTACTGGGAGCATCTACGATGATCTTCGAGCTTCACGTGGCGAGGGTACATTCCCCCATGAGAACGAGGCAGGAAGGAAGGGCGATTCCCCACTTCCCTCAGCATTTCCTCTGAAATAAAACTCCCTGAAGTAACAAGAAATGGAGTTGTCTAGAAACAGTGGAGGACCACAACTCAGGCAGCCAAGAAATCAGGAAGTGAGGTAGGATCAGGTGGAGATAGGCTCGGGGTGGAGCATCTTTGGGGAAGATTTGCAGTTAAATCCAATATCCTGTCTCTCTTCAGGAGGCGCCGAGGCCCGAGTCATTGTTTAACTAAGGTGAGGCAGTACCTGCTGTGCCCATATAAGGAAGAGCCTAAGGGAAGAAGCCAGCAGACAGCAGCCCTGCCAGGGCTATCACCCTGCCCTTTCTCCGGAGGGACTGCCACTGTCCTCCACCACCAGCCTCCTGCGCCTCCCTCCATCTCACAAAGCTGCTGCCAAGCCTCGGGGACCCGCCCAAACAGGTAGGTGTGAGTCGTGACCTCCCAGGGCTTTGGACCAAGACGGTACTCCAAACTTTAGTGAGCACAGAATTTCCCTAGTGAGCATCTTCATTATGTACATTCTGAGTCTCCACCCACTATGTTCTCAGTAGCTCTGAACATTGGGTATTTCTGATGCAAAAGATCTAAGGATAAGCTTTAAGAAAAACTAGGACAAAGGGTGAGTCGACTCCCTAAGAGAAGACGATCTAAACTTTACACGTTTCATACAGTGAGAGGATCTCTTAATCACTGAGTCACCTTTGCTTTCTGCTCATTCAGTCACAGCCTTGAGGGCTACATCGTCATAAGAGTACCCTGATGGCAGAAACCTTGTCTTTGTTCACCACTGTATAGTTTCTGACACAAAGTCGGGGTTTAATATTTGCTGAAGGGAGGAATGGGGCCCTGGGCTTGCCTTTCGTTTTCTAATGACCTAGATTAATAATTATACCAAGTTGGAAAGTCTGTGTTAATCACGAAGGGGCACTCAACACCGCTTCAGACACTCAAACGGCTCCCATGCTCCCGGAGCTGCTTGCCAGTCAGTGCAGGTGCCTCTGTGGCTGCAGAAGTTGTGTAATTGTTGCGATGTGATTCTGTTCTTGGGGAGACAGAGCCCTGGCTGTTGTGCTTGAAGCCAAGTTACAGATGTTTTCCCTGTGCAGTTACAGTCGGGTTATGACTTCCCGACTGCCGTTTGTCCTGGGAACTCTGCTGACTCCCAGCTGGTATTTCCTGGTCTTCCGTCAGCATAGCCTCTCAAATTGGCCCACCTGTGCCCAAGGGGACCTAAACTTTGTTTTCGTGGGTGATAGCTGCTGTTTTTGTAGGAGATAGCCACAGGAGAACTCAATAATTAGCCTATTGGGTGATGAGAAATAATGATCTATCAGTTGTGTAATAGACAAGAATTATACATGTGACGTGATTAGCCCCGGTTTGTAGGTGGGACAAGAAAGGTACCTGGGGAACGCCTTGCTGCTAAGCTCACACCAGATGCAGATGGCGGACTTAAGAGTTATTGGTCCTGGGGCCCTGTGGTGTCAGTTGTTCTCCTCTTTCATGTCTTATTTTGTTCATTTGGGCCCTCTCTTCTTCTCGGTGAGTTCTTCTCAGTGAGCCTGGCTAAAGATTTATCAGTTTTGTTCATCTTTTCAAAAAGAAAAAAAAAAAACCTCTTGGTTTCATTTATCTTTTTTATCTACTTATTTCCTCCCTGACCTTTATCAGTTCCTCCTGCTGACTTTGGCCTTTGTTTGCTCTCCTTTTTCTGATTCTTTTAGGCGGTAGGTTAGGTTGTCTGTTTGAGATGTTCTTGTTTCTTGAGGAAGGCCTGCACCGCCATGAACATCCTGCTCAGAACTGCTTTTGCTGCGTCTCATAGATTTTGGAGTATTGTGTTTCCATTTTCATTTGTCTCGAGGTATTTTCTGATTTCCTCTTTGAGTTCTTCGTTGGTAGTATTCAGGGAGTGAATCACTGGAAAGATTGCCTTAGAAGAAAAGGTGCTGGTGAGAAATATACAAATTAATGACCCATCTACTGACCCTGAGGGCTCACTCTGTGTCCAGCGCTGTGCTTGACCCTACCCGGTGTGCTCTCTGATACTGTCATTTGGGCACATTACATAAGCCCTTTGGATCCAGTTTCCTCCTCACTAAAGTGGAGTAACAGCAGCATCTGCCTTATACAATTATGGAAAGGAATTAAATGAGATAATATGCGTAAAGTCCTTAGCAGTGCCTGGCACATGGTAAGTGCTCAAAACATTTTAGTGATTACTGTTGATATTGTTGGAGCCTGGGTTCTCCGCAAAACAAAGCTTGAGGCAAAGCTTAAGTGCTAACGCTTCTCAGGGAGGTGCAGTACCAGGGCAGTGAGAGTGAGGGAAATGGGAAACAAGGAGGGGAGGATGGGAAGAAGTACAAGGTGACGTGTCACCCACCTCTCTTCACAAATAGACAGAGCCAGCTACTTGGCTAAAGCAGGGCATCTGTGGACTAGCTTTGCAGAAACACTGAGTCTTGAAACAGTCCACACGAGAGAGGTTGGAGAGGAAATGTACATGTCGCTCCCTTCTGTCTCCTCTCTCTCATGGCTCAAAGTTTGCCCCATGGGCAGTTAACGCTTCTGAACCTCTGGCTGGTGCCATCTGGCCCCTTTGGCAGCGCCGAGGAAATCGAGATCCTCTTCCTTGAGGCTTGGCATCTCATCTGAGTCCAGAAGTGGTCAGAAGAGCCACTTCTTCGCCTGGGGTCAGCCCCAAAAGAGGACTAAGAGTCCCAGTGACAGGTGAGACCAAAAAGACCTGAGAAAGTGCATAAGATTAGTTCAAAACAGATCAAATGATCATTGTTAACATCTGCTGGACACTGCAAGGCACTAGTGTTTCCCAATCTAATGGAGCCCACCTCTTTCTCCCGTGAGACAACCATGAAGGAGTCCTCAGGTAGACTGGTCCACCCCAGCTCTCCTCGGTGTTTGTAAGCGGTCAGACTGAGAACATCCTTCGCCCTCTCAAACCTTTGTAAAGCAGAGCTTTCCACTGATAGACAGACAGCAAGAAAGCCCACAGCCATTTAAAAAACCAGAGCAGAATCAAGAGGAGAATATTGATTTTTTCTGCCACCCTTGTGGACTCTGTCTCTTGGACAAGCATGATACGTGGAACACTAATTCTGGAGCTGTTGCTGGGAACTCCTTGATCAAACACTTGAGTGAATGTTGCCTCCTACCTCCCCCTCTTTGGAGAGTCATGATTCAGATATATGTGTAAAGGCTCTGCCAAAACAAAGACACTGGTTGAACCAAGCGCATCAGCTCTTACATATTCAACACCAGTTAGGAGCACTGCTCTGGACCCTGGAGACCCTGGCTTCAATCTCTCTTCTGTCTCAGTCCCTGAAATCTCAGGAAGCCCTTCTCAACCATGCATGACTTCTTGCTTCACACAAACCTTTTTGAATAAAAAATCCTGCAATATAATGTGAGGCCACGCACACTCAGTAGTCTGCAAAGCTGGTTCTCCAACAAACAACCAGAAAAGCTCAGCCAAACGTAATTTCCTCATCTTAATTATTAACATAGGTGAACAAAGTGATCTCTGCGGGGCCTTTCAATCCCTCGTAATCTATGGTGCTCATGTTGAAAAGCAGCTGAAGTTCATCTCACCCAGCTCCTGAGTTGCTTCAGAGATGATCTGTTTAGCTAATACATGAACGCAAATTTTTAAGAGATGGTGTAGGGGTATGGAAGTGAAGTCTTGCCCCATGGCACTCCCTCTGGTAGAGCTGTACTAGATGAGAGAAGTATTGAGTACTGAGGGTGATGACCCGGGCCGTGAGCTGCCTCCGAGTCCCCAGGCTGGCAGAGAGCTGCGGCTCTGGAGTTAACATGCTGACTCTGCCAGATCCGCCACGAGGGGCCTTTAAAACTGAAAGTGGCCAAGACCTTTGTTTGATTTCTCTCCGAAAGGGTGGTCCGTTGGGCAGTTCTCTGCCCTCTGATCACTGACTGGGTCAGCCCTGCCATGCTGTGGATCTGGCCTGACCGGGAATGCCCACGCAGCTCAGAGAACCAAACCAGACCCCTTCACAGCCTGGGGACTAGAGAAGCTAGGGGCATATCTCCATCAGAACTGACCACACGCCTGCCATCAGGAGGCACAGCCAATTGGTTCTCAAGCGCCTGAGGGAGCAGAGGTCACAGGAACGTTTCCCTGCTTCTCTTAGCCAAACATTCTGTCTTCTCCCAAGTCTAATCCTCAGCCAGCAGTGGCTGCCAACCAGCTGAGCTACATCATAAAGCTCACCTCTGAAATCTCCAGCTTCCTTTCAGGTACCCAAGTGAAGATACTTGCAGACAGCATTGCTGGGGGAGAATCTCAGGGCAGAGGCATTCAGGATGGGCTTGCTCCTAGGAGAAAGGCACATTCCTTCAACTCGGAAGCTGTCCTGATCCAGTGCCAGCGTCTCTGACGCTGTCTGAGAACCCTGTCTTCCTTCACCTGGGTCACTTTCTCCAGGTAGGCACGGGACTCATCTGTGACTCCCTGCCCACCTCACCTGTTCCAGGATGTAGCCGAGGCAGCTGGAGGGAGGCGGATGTTTCCTGTGGCAGCATCTCCATCCTGTCTCAGGCTCAGGGATGGATGTCAGACCCCCCCCCCACCTGGCCTGTCCTTCCTATCCCCTTCCCTTAGACCCCCCAGCCGCCCCCAGCCCAAGCCGTCTTCTAGACCATTCTGTTCCTCTCTCTTCTGACTGTCTCTCCTTCTTACCCCAGTCCTCACCTTCACATGCTCTGGCCTTCTTGGATTTTTTTAGAAGTGGGGGTGAGAAAGAATGAAGGAAGGAGCATGAGAACCCTGAGAGGCTTAAAATCCCCCCTTAACCTGCTTTTCACTCACCCCCTTACACACACGTTTACACACAGGCTAACACACACAGAGCTGTTCTAAGTTCTGTCTTCCATGATGCTCTCAGACATATTTAATTCAGAAAGCTCTTGTTTTCAAGAGACTTTTCCCCTCCCGCTAGCTCTGGCCCTGACCCCACAAGCACGACCCCAGCCATTTGGGTGGAAGCTTGCTTTCAGAAAAGTCTCAGAGGAAGCAGCTTGGCCTGGGCCTTCTTAGGATACATGGCCGTCCTATGTCCCCAGGCTGGTTGCAAAAGGGAGTCTCTCCCAAAGAGAGACTGCTTGGCTGCTGGTGCAACTAGCCCTCTGTCCCCACCCCTGGCACCCCCACACCATGACGGGGAGTGGACACTGGCAGAGCCAGAACCAGGCTCCAGTCCAGGGCTCCGCCCACTCACCCTGAGGCCTCCGCGGGCCTGAGGCGCCCAGGGATGGCCGGGCACAGACCGGGATGCCCGAGGTAACGGGGCCAGAGGTCCAACTGCCGGTGCCCGTCCTTCTCTCTCCCCTGGGTGTGGCCAGAGTCAGTGCCCTGAATCTGTCACTGCAGGAGGGGACTT